GGTGGCCCGGGTTCGGATCCCGGGCGCGCACCGACGCACCGCTTCTCCGGCCATGCTGAGGCCGCGTCCCACATACAGCAACTAGAAGGATGTGCCACTACCACATACAACTATCTACTGGGGCTTTGGGGGGAAAAAAAATATTTCACCATGGATCTTTAAAAAATAAGAACATTTTCTACATCATCACAGTTAAGTTAGGACACCTACGAAAATCGGTACCAATTCCTTAGTATCATGTGTTACCCCGTCCGATCTAAAATTTCCCATTGTCCCCAAATGGGACAGCTGGCTTGTTGGATCCCGGATCCGGTCAAGGTCCACATTTGCACAGGGCGGTGACGGCTCTTAGACTTATAATCTGTGTCACCCCTCGCTTTCCTCTTTCATGTCGGTGACCTGTTGGCAAAGACTGTCCCACTTTCTGGCTCTGTCTGGTTGCTTTCTCGTGTTGTCACTGAGTTTGTTCCTCTAACCCCGGACTTTCCTGGAACCAGAAGTTAGATCAAAAGGCTCAATGAGGGGCCGGCCCCATGGCTTAGCGGTTAAGTGCGCGCGCTCCGCTGCTGGTGGCCCGGGTTTGGATCCTGGGCGCGCACCGACGCACCGCTTCTCCGGCCATGCTGAGGCCACGTCCCACGTGCAGCAACTAGAGGGATGTGCAGCTACAACTATCTACTGGGGCTTTGGGGGAAAAATAAATAAATGAATAAAATTTTAAAAAAAGGCTCAATGAGATTCGGTTACATATTTGTGTCAAAAAAACTCAATGCGTGGCCAGTGCTGTATGCTTCTCGTGGGAGCCCATGATGAGGCACATAGAGTCTGGTTGTTCCCCAAAATAACATTTTTAATTTAATTAATTTGTAATTTTTTTTAATTAACATAATGTGAAATTTACCATCTTAACCACTGTTAGGCGTACAGTTCAGCAGCATTAAGTACATTCACATTGTTGTGCAACCAAAACTCTTTTCTTCTTGCAAAACTCTGTGCCTTCTCATTCCTCCCTCCCCCAGCCTCTGGCAACAACCCTTCTACTTTCTGTCTCTATGAACATGACTCCTTGAGGAATCTCATCTAAGTGGAACCATACAGTCTTATCTTTGTGTGGTTGGCGTATTTCACTTAGCATAATGTCCTCAGGGTTCATCCATGTTGTAGCATGTGTCACAATTTCCTTTCTATTGAAGGCTGAATAATATTCCACTAAATATATATATATATATAGCACATTCTGTTTATCCATTCATTCATTGATGGACACCTGGGTTGCTTCCATCTTTTGGCTATTGTGGATAACGCTGCTATGAACATGGGTGCACAACTATCTCTTTGTATCTCTGCTGTCAATTCTCTTGGGTATGTACCCAGAATTCCTGGATCATCCAAAATAGCATTTTAAAATAAAACTTTTCTCACTCTAAAAATAATATGTACTCATTGTAGAAACCTGTGGAAAACCCAGAAGAGCAAAGGAAGAAAATAGTGCTTTGAAAAAAAATTCAGTATAACTTTAAAAACAGAAATATTTTAAACAACTCTCTTTTCTCCTGCTTCTAAATTAATGCATGCACATTGTAGAAAGTTCAGAAAATATTGAAAACTAAGGAAGAAATAAAATAAAAACCATCCATGAGAATTCTACCATCTAAACAACTCGCATTATCATTTAACATATTTTCCCCATATCTCTACCTCCCTCTTTCTCTCCATGCTTTTTCCCTCTCCATATATATTTCTCCTTTTTTTAAATACAAAATTGGGATCATGTTTTATATATAGTTTTATTTCCTTATCTTTGCAATGTAATGTTGGGTAGACCTTTTCTTAAATCTAAAGATACTATTTAAATAACATTTTCTGTTTCAATTGTTGAAATAACTGTTAAAACAAGGGTGATGTTGATTTCCTGTTTTATGCTTATGCCTATTGTATAATTTTATAAGTTTTAAAATAAGCAAAAACCAAAAAGCTTCGAGGCCCCCCTGGGCACTTTCCTCCCACCCACCCCCCCCCACGCCCACCCTGAGAGACCTTTATCTGTGTCTGCTTCTGTGACAGAGTGGAGGAGCCGTGGGTGGGCAGAGCCGGGGTGCTCGCCCTGCTGGAAGCCTGCGCCCAGGCCTCAGGCAACGTCACCAAAATAAGGTGAGTCCAGGGAGGAGGCCCCTCCGAATTCTTCATCTTTTCATGACCACTGCGACCTTCCCTCATCTAGACAGTGGTCTCTCGTCCTGTGGGGTCATAGCTGCATCACTAGTGAGTTCTCTGGGTCCCCAAGAGGGCAGGAGCTCCTGGGGCCTAGGTGAGGGGCTGCACATGCTTGTTGGGACTTGTGCAGTAGTCAAGCCGCAGTGCCAGAGAAGAAGGCAGCCCCAGAGTTGAGACAAAGGACCGTTGGATCCCAGGTGGACATGGCTGGGAGTCCATACTGGTTGCCTGGAAGTGGCCCCTGGACTACAGTAACACACATTGTGGCTCTGTGACCAGAGGTGACAGAATGACATGGAGTAGCTAAAAGCAAAGGCTTTAGCGTCCCACTGACCCATGTCCAGATCCCCAGTGGGTCTGGGAGCTCAGAGTCGGTGGGCCGGGCAGCCCCTGTCCTAGCTCAGCCCACGCGGGAAAGCTGCCCTGGGCCTCACACCGGCTGCCTTCCCTCCTCAGCATCTCCGAGACCCAGCAGCAGCTCTGTATCCAGCTGGAATTTCCCCATCAGGAGAACTCGGAGGCTGTGGCCCTCAGGTGGGACCCGGTACCTGGGACCCCAAGGGAGTGCCTGGTGATGGGGTCGGGGGGGGCAGTGTTGCTTCTGGCCAATATTTCTCATGCCCTTGCTCTGAGTACTTTGATGTCCAAAGTCTCTACATGGCCTATGAGATCTGGTCCAATCTACCTCGCCATGCTGTCCATCTCCGCCACAAACCCCAGCCTCAGCTCCAGTCATCCCCACCAGCTTTCAGTTTCTGGAACACCACCTTGCTCCCTTTGACCTCAGGGCCTTGGCACAGGCTGTTCCCTGCCCAGAATGTTCTCTCCTCCTCTACGTAGCTTCTTCCTCCTTCTTCACCTGGCTATCTCCCCCTCATCTTTCAGGTATTAGCTTAAATGCCACCACCTCAGGGAGGCCCCTCTGAACCCCCAGATTTAGTCAAGTCCTCCCATTATCCACTCTTATAGATGCCTGGATTCACAGCGCTTCTAATCCATACAGCACATTTTTGGAGATTAAAATGTCACCCTTTAGGGTGAATGCAGCCCTGCATGTGCACGGTCTGGGAATAAACCGTAGCTGGATCTCAGCCCCAGCTCGTCTCCTTGGCTGGGTCCTCTTGTGCAGTGAACAACCTGCACAGCCATACCAGCTGCCCCATCTGGACCTCTCCTTTATAGCACTTCCCATAATTGAATAGTCAGTTGTGGGACTTATTTGATTAGCATCTATTTACCCCCAGAAGGTAAGCTCCTTGTGGGCAGGGACTGTGTCCCCAGTACTGACCCAGGTGTTCAGAAACTGCGGCCTCCCTGTCTACCTCCAGGTTGGCTCACTGTGATCTTGGGAGCCACCACAGCCTTCTTGTCAGCCAGCTGATGGAGACGTGCACCAGGCTGCAGCAGCTCAGGTCAGCACCTGGAAACCCTGTCTGGGGCCCTGAGTTCTCTGGTTGAGCCCAGTGCCCACTCCAGGCCACATGTGGGAGGCTGGCCAGTCCAGGATGGGGATGAGCAGAGCCTGGGGCAGTGCTGGACCCTGGTCCTCTTGCTTCCCTGTGCAGGGGAGACTCACATGTGGCCAATGGGGAGACCCCCAGGGCGGCATAGGGGAGCCCTGCCCCCCGGGAGCTCTCTATGGTCCTTTCCCCTCTCTTGGCCTCCGCCTCTCTGTGATGGATGACCCCTGAGGTGTGTCCAGCCTGAAATCCTCTGGAATATGCTTGGGCCTTTTCAGCTTGTCCCAGGTGAACCTCTGCGACGACGCCAGCTCCCTGCTGCTGCGAAGCCTCCTGCTGTCCCTGTCTGCACTGAAGAAATTCCGGTATGTGGACACGACATGCACTCAGGCGCCCTTGCAGCTCTACCCTGCCCCCATGCTTCCTGTTCTCCCCAGCCCTGGGAACTCTGTGTCCCCACCCTGCGGGACCACACGTGGCCCCGGAGATGATGTCAGGGAGCGTGGTCATCCATGTGGCCACGTGGCGAGAAAGTGGTTCCCTCTTCCACGCTCTTTCTTTCTTTTTCTTTGTTATTTGGAAATAATTGCAAACGAATAGAAAAGTTGCAAGGAGACTGAGAAGAACTTCCATATACCATTTGCCCAAATTCCCCCTTCGTCAATATGTTTTTGCATTTGCTCCTATCTTCCCTCCCTCCCTCCTCACCCCTCCCCTCTCTTCTTCCCCTCTCACCCTCTTTCTTTTTCTGAACCATTTGAAAGTAGGTTGCATAATCATGCCCCTTCACCCCTTAATATTTCAGCGAATTTCCTAAGAACAAAGACATTCTCTCCCATAATCTAATAAAAGTAGAAAATTCAAGAAATTTAACATTGAGACACTAATATTATCTAAACTACAGTTTATGTTCCAATTTTGCCAGTTGTCCCAATAATGTTGTTTATGGCATTTTTTTTTCCAGTCCTGGACTCCATCCAGGATCACGCACTACATGTAGTTGCCATCTCTCTTTAGTCTCTAATTTAGAATGGGTCCTCAGGCCGTCTTTGTCTTTCCTGATACTGTCGTGACATTTACATGTCAGTGACTTTGTAGACTGTCTCTAGACTTTGGTTTGTCCGATGTTTCTTCGTGCTTGGATTCAGGTCCAGCATTTGGGGCAGGAATGTCACAGAGGTGCTGTTGTGTTCTTCTCGGTATGTCACATCGGGAGGCACGTAATGTCTATTTGTCCCCTTCCTGGTGACGTTAACTGTGATCACCTAGTGAAGGTGGTGGTGTCTGCCAGGTCTCTTCACTTGCAAAGCTCCTCTCTTTCCCTTTGTAACTAACCAGTGTCTTGGAGGGAGATACTTTAAGACTATGTAAATAATCTGTTCTTCCTCAGACTTCCGCCCGTGAATTTTAGCATCCATGGATCATTCTTGCCTAAATCAAATATCAGTATGATGGTTGCAAAATGGAGCTTTTATAACTTTCAGTTCTCTTAATCCAACTGATTGCTTGAAGGAGAAGGTCTTCTTTTGGTGCCAATATCTCTTTAACACCTCCAATACTTGCTACTTTTTTTGTTGTTTAAATAAAGATGCAGAGCTCGTGGTAAATGACAGTAACTCGCTAGACTTTACAGTGATGCCCGATTATGGCATAAATTGTGAAGTTGCTGTCTGAATGATTGTGGTTTAGGAAAATGCTCAACTAGTCCATGCTCCTGCCTCCAAGCTGTTATCCTGGCCTAATGATTCCACGGTGGGAGAGATTTACTAAGGGAAGGAGGGCCCCTCCCACGGCCCCCCAGGAACCACTCCCTACCCCACCTCCTTGCCCTCTGCCACCAGCATTCAGAGCTCCCAAGACCCAGAGCTCCTGCCTGACCTCCTGCCCTTTGACCCCCACCAGGCTGACCTCCAGCTGTGTGAGCTCCGAGGGCCTGGCCCACCTAACGTCTGGTCTGAGCCATTGCCACCACCTGGAGGAGCTGGAGTGAGTCTCGGGATGGAGGGGTCTGGAAGGATGGCCCAGCTGAGGGCAGGGGTGGAGGGGACAGTCAGCCTTTGGTAAGGTGGACTTGAACCTGTCACTTTCTCGCTAATGAAGCCCAGCATCTCTGGGTGTGGCCGGGGAAGGCTGAGCTCTGTGTTCTTGGTCCCAATTTTGCCAGTCACTCAGAGTGACCCTGGGCAAATGACTGTGCCTCTCTGGGCTCAGAAGCCTCAGCTGTAAAATAGGCACAGAGAGCTGAGGGGCAGAAGGGGTCATGTCACCTGTGTGTGTGTGTGTCCCTTGTCCCTGGCTTCCTCTTTTGAGCCCTCATCCAGGGCATCCTTTCTTAGCAGAGTCAACTGTGGCTGCCATGCCGCCCTCCTCAGGGACCCCAGGGCCTGTCACTTGGGACCATGAATGCCCCCTTGGGGCCTGGACAGGGGGGATGGTCTAGGATCTGCAGATCCAGAGCCGGCCTCCTGGGGGGACTGAGGGGGTGAGGGAGGCTGGGTGCTTGTCTAACCTTCACCTCATGTTTGGTCCCCTCCAGCTTGTCTAACAACCAGTTTGGTGAGGAGGACACCAGGGTGCTGCTGGGGGCCCTTGAGGGCAAGCAGTGGCTGAAGAGGCTGGAGTAAGTGGTGGTGAACAGGTGGGGTGGGGAGGCATGCCTAGGAACCTTCACGTCTCTTGTGAACACTAACTCTCCAGTCCCTGAATGGACCCAGGTGAGCTGAATGCCCTCCCTTTTACTTCCTTTCCTGGCTCTGAGTGCTATCAAAATGCACGATTATAGGAAACAGAATACTCACGCAAACCGACCCAAGCCAGAAATTTATTGGCTCGCGTCACTGAAAATTACAAGGCAACTGGCTTCAGGCTTGGCTGGATCCAGGTTCTATATTTGTTGCCCCCCCCACTTCCGTCTCTCTTTCCATCTTGACTTCATTCTCCGGCAGGCTGTCCCTGCCGCTTCAGGCTTACTCTCTACCAGCTTAGTGGAAAGGGAGCACCTTTCTCCCTGTAGCTGCGAGAAAAGGCCCTAGACTGAGTCTCACTGGACCAGCTCTGGTCACGTGCCCATCCCTACACCAATCACCGTGGGTCTGAGCACACAATATTCTGATTGGCCAGATCTGGGTCATGTGCCCACCCACTTATCTGGACGTAGTGGGAGGTGGTATTTCAGGGTCCTATTAACAGAAGAAAGAGAAACAAACTCTGGGCAGAAAAAACCCACAGATGTCCACTGCCATTAGCCTACAGTCCTTTCCTTAGTAACTGGCAACTTTTACTCTCACCTGTATTTGGAGTCGCCAAATTCTAAGAAACACTGGAAACAGCCTCAGTCTAAGGGACAGGTCCCCATCTTGCACCAACATGGCAGTATCTAGACAGAACATGTAACAGGGCATTTTCTGCTTTTAATCTCTAAGTTTTTCTGATGAACCAAAATAGACACTAGTTATAAAAAGTTCCATCATTATAGAAATATGTAACAAAGAACATGACAGCCCCTGGGAAAACTTCTGTGAAGGAGCAGTTTGTGAACTTTTCTCCAGATTTTTTTCAACATATGTTTTGAAGACAGTTTAAAAGTAGCCTTCTGACTTTTTGCCCCTGACAATGAAATTCTCCCACTTTCTCCTTCTTTTCTTGTCCTGGGGGGTCGGGGTATGAGGGAGACCTGTGACCAGAAGGCCCCCCTATCCTCCCACAGAGCCATTTCTTTGGCCTCGCCCCTGTGTGTCTGCACCTCTGCTCAGCGTCCCTTCCTTCTGGAAGCTTTCATTTGGGAGGTTGGAGGCTCAGTGAGGTCATTCATTGGCTCATTCATGCATCTGACAAATATGTATTCACCTGGGCACCTGGGCCAGGAGCTGGAGGTCCTGCAGAGAACAGGCCAGACGTGTTACCCTTTCTTCTGACTTCCCAGCACCCAGTGCTGCACCTTACCTCTCACGGGCTCAGTCACCCTGTCTATAAAGTGGGCGTAATGCCACCTTCTCTGTCTGAAGGGAAGGGGTGGGTCCTCACTGCCTAGAGTCCTCTTACACTTTCAGATCTGTCATTTCCGAGTGTCTCCTCCCTGACACACGGCTCCCCTCAAATCCAGCCAGCTTCTGCCTGTGTCTCTGCAGCAGAATGGTTAGGGGCCTGGACCCTGGTTAGCAGCCACACCACCTGGGTTCAACTCTTCGTAGGGTGACCTACTGTCCCACTTGGCTCGGGGCTGAAAGTCCCACATCCTGGAAACCCCCTCGGTTCTAGGCAGACCAGGACCATTGTCACTCTCGGTTCTACCTCTCAATGTGTGAGCTTGGGCAAGTTACTTAACCTCTCTTAACTCATCTTGACTCAGGGGATAGTAGTTGTACCTACCTCCTAGGGTTGTTGGGAGGATTAAATGAAACAGTACATGTTAAGGACTTAGAACAGAGCCTAGCATGGAATTCACACTCGCCAAGTTTTGGCTATAATTAATATTATTATTCCCCGCCCCTGCCCAGGCTGGGGCCTGGGGGAGCATGATCCCATGGGTCACACGTGGTGGGGGCCCAGGAATGGGAGTCCTACAGCCTTCGGTTCTGTTCCTGATGCTGCCACTTTCTGTGTGTGGCCTTGAACACGTTTTCTACCTCTCTGAGCCTCCGTGTTCCTTATCTGTAAATGGGGAGGATAATAGACCCACGTCTCAAGATGGCCCTGAGCCCTGTGCGTGGCCCGTAGTATGTGCTCCGTATGTGGTCGCCGGGGCTCCTGATCAGGAGTCGGTCCAGTGTGATGAGAACGTAGAACTGTGCTTGATGGCCTTCGTCATTCGTGCAGAGAAATGGCATGTGGATGCCCCAGGGCAGTTTTGTTCTGTATGATGTTTTTACACTATGTGAATATAAGTGGGTGTTTTGGAAGTCCTGGGCATTGCTAAACACAGAAGCCTCAAGCCCCCACACTGGACAGGCATCGGTCTGCATCTGGGTCCCAACCCCAGCGATGCCAAGTCCTCCTCTGCCTCCTGTCTTCCAGCCTCAGCCACCTCCCGCTGGGCGGCTCCACCCTGGCCGTGCTCACTCAAGGACTAAGCCACATGACCCTCCTGCAGAGCCTCCGGTGAGTGACCGAGTGACCCCATGGGAATGAGACGCCCTCCCCAGCTCTGTTGGGACCACCCGCCCGGGGAAGCACAGGGGGCACCTCCCCAAGGACCCTCCGTGGCTTCTGTCTCCAGGGTATTCTTGTACCCTCCCAGATCAGTGCCACAGCTCTTACCTTTTAATGCCACCAGCTTCCTCCTGGCTACAAAAGTGACCTGAAGGAGTCACGTCTTAGAACAACCCTCAATGTGCACAAATTCCCCCCGGTCCTTGTTCACATTTCTGGTCCCACTGGTCTGGGATGCCTTGATTCCGCGCTTCTAACAAGCTCCCCAGTGGTACCAATTCTGGAGGCCAGAGAGCATACTCTGAGTAGTGAGAGTCAGGACCCAGATCTGGTGACCTTGCTATTTCGCCTCGCGCCCCTGGCCACTTTGATAAACAAACGTCACACGCTCTTTTCATGTGGTTTTCCAAAATATGAAATATGATGACTAAAAACAAATGCCAGCAATGACACAAAGCATGTTTTGTCTTAATCCAAGCCCGCACCCCCACTCTGGCGGGGTGGGGTGGTAGGAAATGAGGTCAGAGAGTTTGGGGACCATATCATATGAGACCAGGTCATTTCACCCAAAAGTAATTTACCCAAAGGCAGTTCGCTACAATTTAATTTGTAAAACCAAAGAAAACAAAACAAACCACCCTTAGACAAATAGTTCACATGGGACTGAGACCCTTTGCCTCAGCTGTTCTGTTTTGTTTTTCCACTCACAGAAGCAGGGCAGGGCAGGGTGCAGAAAAGACAGTGGGCTGGGTCTAGGGAAAACCCCCCATTTGCATAGATTAGAACAAGATATGCCTGGAGGAACGATTGGTCTGAACTATGGAACCCGCGTGGTGTTGGCATTCCCCGGGCGGCCTGGAGATCCCTGACACGGGCTGAGGCCAAGCCTGGCCAAACCAAAACTGGGGACACTGCTACCAGGCCAGCGGCTCTGGACTTTCATTTCCACTTGCCTGGGAGTCCCCAGGAGTCTTTGGCCAGTCACAGCTCCCCCCCAGGCCTCTGTTCTCTCATCTGGACATTGGGTACAGTCATGCCCACCCTGCCCATCCCCCTCCCCCTTGAAGTTTTGTGACTGGCATGTGAAGTCCTGGATGCATAAAGGTTTACAAACTGTAGAGTTCTTAGCACAGCACCTGCAAAGGCCTTTACTCCTGACTAAGGCCTCTTGGCTTGTTCCCTCCTTCTCTAGTCTGAGCAGGAACGGCATTGGTGACATTGGCTGCTGCCACCTTTCCAAGGCCCTCAGAGCTGCCACCAGCTTGGAGGAGCTGGGGTGAGTTGCCTGTCCCTCCCCCAGACCCAAGACAACTTTGGCAGGGGAAGATGACAAAAGCAAGGGGCTCCTTGAGGACACTCTTCATGTCTTAGTCTGATGGCCTTCACCGGCTTCTACTCTGTATAACCCCAGCCCTAGAACCCTGGGAGACCCAAAGATAGGATGTGAGAGTGTTGATTGCAGCAAGAGGGATTTAGGTCAGACATCAGGGAGAACAGCCTACACAGAAGACAAGAGTTTGGAGTCCTCACCCAACATGGGGTGAGGAGACTTGATCAGTGTGAGCTGAGGCCTTTTTCTAGACTTCAGCCTCCTCTTCTGTTCCGGGAGGAGGATGCGGACAGGATGAGATGGTGGCAGGCTGATGGTTCCGGTTCTCCTGCTCTTCTCTCCCCAAGCTTGAGCCACAACCAGATTGGAGACACCGGTGCCCAGCACTTAGCTGCCGTCCTGCCGGGGCTGCCTGAGCTCAGGAAGATCGAGTGAGTGGCCAGCCCTACCACAGGGCCCTCCAGGGGGCACTGGCTTCCGGCTCAGGCTGACATTCCTGCCCCACCCTCCGTGTCCAGGTGGGGGCTGCGTTACCTCCTGGCCCTGCCGACTTTGGGACCTCGAGCCAGCCCAGCCCCTGCTCCTCTTGGGGCCTTTCTTTTTTTTTTTTTT